CAGTGATGCTCAGGGGTTACTCCTGGCTCTGCATTCAGGAATCACTCCTGGCAGTGCTTGAGGGACCGTGTGGGATGCCAGGGATTGAACCTGAGACAGCAGCACTCGAGGCAACACCCTACCTGCTGTTCAATCACTCCGGTCCCCAGACCAAATATTTTTATGTTTGCTTAACTCTTACACCTCCTGCCAACTTAGGTACCAACTGCACCATAATTGGGCATTCAGGTAATGAAGATTTCATTACTCTTAGTCAACAAAACTGTTTCATTTACTGAAAAGTGCTGAAACACAGATCTTGGTTTCTAATTCTTTTAGGAAAAGAAAAGTGAAGCTCTGAGGAGATGTGTTAGCACTAGTACATTTTCCCCATGTACTGCTGTGACCTGAGACACTTCTTGCTCTAGGAATAAGGATTTCAAATTAGGAACAACTTTCGGCTGGCTTTTGCATCACTCCAAACTGGCTCACAAGGCAGCAGAGGTTTGTTTTGTTTTGGTTTTCAGGCACACTAGCTATGCTCAGTAATTCCTTCGCACTCAGGAATTACTCTGGCGGTACTCAGGGTACCATCAGGAATGACTATGATGGAACCCAGGTTGGCCACGTGCAAGGCAATCACCCTACCCCGCTGCACTATCGCTCTGGCCCCAAGCAGCAGTTAGATTTGTCCCAAGACGCCTTTACCTCCCTGGCGGTCAGCATCCGGATCCAGAAACGACCTGGCGCAGGTGTGCGGCAGTGCCCACAGCCTGGGGGAGACGCGCCACCGCAGAGAGCTGGACAGGGCCACACACCACTCTGTTGAGCCCGACACAGGCATGGGTGCGAATATCCCAAAGGTGTAATGATTCCCTTTTGGGGCATCATTACACCCATAGCCTGTAGGACGTTGGCGGCTGCAGACCCCGCGAGAGATGCAGGTGCGCGTGCGTGTCCGTTACCTCTAACTGCTTAGAACTGACCCAGGACAGCCCCGACGCGCGCGCACCTACTGGCCACGGTGGGTGGTAACGTCCGCCAGTCACGCGCAAGCGTCTCCATAATTATTGGTGGCTTTTCAGGACACAGCAAGGAAGCAAACATAAAGCCTTGATTGATGCCCGAGGACAAAGTTCAATCTCAAAATCCATCTCATGAGGAATCCTTGGCTGAAAATCAAGTCTAGGTTCTTCGTGACCGAAGTGGAAGTCCCAAGAAATGTCTCGACTTTCCTGTGTTTCCTGTGTCCAACATCGTTTGGGGAAGGATGTTCCTGATGTTGATAGAATTCTTATGACTTGGATATCCCTACTGAACCAATGTAGAGTGCACAGAGCAGCTGCTGGGAAACGACCAAAGATCGGTGTCTGCAAAGGCAGCCTCGGTGCTGCAGAGAATGGAATGATCTGATGGCTATGGACCGAGCAGGTCATTCCCTCGATAGCGACCAAACAGTGCAATGAATGTTGGATTTAAATGCATAATCCCAAAACCTTTCAGACTGAGAGTTTGGGAAGATCTTATAAATTGTTCCAAAATTAGACTGAAAACTCTCTTTCTTATAAACACTGGAGAAAAGAGTGTAGAGGAAATCTGAATTCAGGGTTTCCCAACCATGGAAAAAATTATGTAGAAGGTAACTTTGTTGAGGATCTGAATATTGAAGTCAGTTGCACATCCATTCTTCTCCACTTCCTAATTCAGACCTCCCTATTCCATCGGCCACTGAATTGCCAAGCAGTGTAAGGATTCAGTTAGGAATGGCAGAAGTTTGTGCTGTGGGGATGGAGTCTCCTAAAGGAGAGAGAAGCCGTTTAAACAATATAAAGAAATCACTGCACATGCCAGCGGGTAGAACGTACATGTACTTTTAACCAGAGAGGTAAACAATTATGAGTTCATAAAAATGGGATCCTTTTTGGGTTTCAGCACATAGTGCATGTCTAGAAATATGTTAACAACAGAATACCAGTTCTGTGTGGGAGAGAGCATTGTACTAATCAGAGAAAGTTGAAGGGAACACCCAGCACTGCATTAAACACACATCATTGAGCCTTTGGCAAAACTTAGCTTTGAACAATGAAAGATATTCCTCAATTCAACATTATATTTAGGAGGCAGATCATCCATAAAATGGATAGCAAATGCAAAGAAGTAAGTTTGAGTCTGGTCATTGTCTCAACTTGAGGCTTCATGGCTATTCCAGGAAGGGTAAGAGCTTCCAGTAGAAAGAAACTTTGAAAATGTTAGTCAAACATGCTAGACAAATCTACATTACTTTCAGTCCTAGGGACTGGACCCTAATGAATGATCAGGAAACAAACAAACAATAAAGCAAAACCCACTGCATTTGCTGGGGAAAACTCCTCTCAAATTGTGACCTCCATGGGTTCACAAATCACTAATGATTGAATTTTTCAAAGAAAGAGTAGCCTCTGTTGAAGGAGGTCAACAGAGAGAGAGGAAGGAGAGAGATTTGAGGGGCACACAACTAGACTGGTGGATAAAGTATTGAGATCCAGCAAAGACCAAGCCAACCTGTGTGCTGAGAATGGGGAAACTCTGTCTAAGTTGCTTGAAGAGGCCATGTGAGCAGCGCTGCCACTGACCAGTTTGAAGGAAAGATCTGGTTCTGGCCCACCAATCAGAGCCCTTCATGGAATGTATCCCCAGCCAGGCCCTCCTGGCCCTCCCCTCCCCCACTGCAGAATGTCTTGGCCCAACATTCTGAGGTTTGAATCCAAACCTCTCCCTCACCCACTCGGATCCTGAGCATCTGCGTGAGCAGTTCACTGTCTGATACAGGTCCTGCCTTTTGCCATTGTGAAGGCTGATAAGCTGTAGTGGCCTCTGGCCTCGTCTACGGGGATGGCGTCAGAAGGAGGTAAGCCTGTGAGGGTGTCTGTGTATGTGAGAAAGTCTCTGCCTCCTTGAAAGCCTTTGGGTTCAGAGTTATCCTGACTGGGGACACCAAGTTTTGAAGGGGTAAAAGAGGAGAAAGGCCTGGGCTCCATAGATAGCTCACCTGCACAGCAATGGGAGCCCAGGAGGATCTGAGGGGACTGGGAGGGCATCCGTGGAGGTGTGTCAAATGACAGGGGGAAGGTCATGGGTATGGACAGAGGGAGGTAGCAGGCATATTGTTGCTTTGTGTGTGAGTGTCCCTGCTTGTGGATGGGGGAACAAGGCCATTTGTCGTGTGTATGGAGGGTCTGTTTGGTGGTGGCACAGGGAACACCGAGGCATGCTGAGTCCTTGTCCCCTCCTGTGCTCTAGAATAAGTTTAGAAGGATTTGGACTTGGGCTGAGCTCAACCTGATGTGGGCAGCTCAGCAGAGATGGTCCAGCCTGAACCTTGTTGAGTGAGGTTGTCTGTGTGCACTTCTGCCATGATGCGTCCACTCCAGAGCTGGGCTACAAGTGGCTAACTGCCACAGTCAGAGCCTGACCCCCCTGCAGATGGGAACTCTCTCCTGGCTGAGCCCAGTAGCTGTCCTGGGTCAGCAGACTGGGAGACAGGTGACTTCAGCGTAGTTATGACTCAGACTCTTGAGTTGTTCTGGATTGTTCTTTTGGTGAAGTTTGTTCTTCCATGGTCTGGCATTTCATGGGGACCAGTCTGCATTTGAGCTCTGAGGTGAAGAATGATTGGTAATCACATCCCCCCTCATACCCTAGAGGGGGGTAGAGATGAATGTGTGTGTGTGAGAGAGACAGAGAGAGAGAGAGAGAAAGAGAGAGAGAGAGAGAGGGAGGAAGGGAGGGAGAGAATGTGTGGGGGTGTGTGAGGGGGTGTCTCTATGTCTGTGGGTGTGATTTGTTGGGTTTTCCTGAGTAAAGCCTGTGAAGGTCTGTTCCTTGAGGGGAGGTGGAATGTGCTGAGGCAAAATGATCGCATGCTCAGAGCAGTTGGAGCCTCAGGGCCTCTGTCTTGAGCGTGATACACACGGGCTCTAGGGCGTCTCTAGGACCAGTCTCTGCCTGAATTCCTCATGTGCAAGTATGGTTGCAGACAATTTTCTCTCTCCTGGCACCTGGTTTATGCCTGATGTTTAGGATCCTGTCACTGGGATAAAGTCTTAGATTATTTAGAAGATGTCACCAATTTTCAATCTACCATGACCACCAGCTCCAGAACTCTGGAAACCTCCCAGAGTCTGACTGGTGAAATCTCGGACCTTTTCCATCCTTGCCATCGTCCCTGATGGAACTGGCGTAACTCATGGAGCCCAGGACCACTTTCCAGGCCACTCTCGTGGGAAGAGAATGTTGGAGGTAGAAACTGTGACTAAGTGTTCGAGAGACAGGGTGGCAACACCCGCCAGTGTGGAGGGTTGACTGTGGGTTTACTGTGCACAGGCTAGGCAGTGGGTATTGTGCTCCTGTCTGGGTCCTGGGCACTTCTTGGGAAGAACACATTTTCAGAGGTGTTTGCCTTCTTAGTGAAGCAGGAGGCCCTGATGAGCCTACAGCCTGAGTAGACAGTCTGTCCTTTAGACTCTGTTGTCATGGGACCCTGTAGGTGCTGAGCACCTGTGGTGCGGCTGGTCCAGTCTCTGTGACTGACCCTGCAGGGTCTCTTGCCGAAAGACCAGTGTGTCCAGGTACATGTTGGGAAGCTCCAAAGAGGCTGGAGGGCAGGGTGTGAGAGGTCAGTGTGGTCAGCACAGAGGCCATCCCAGGACACAAGGACCCTGGCCTTAGGATCTCCACAAAGCATAACCCAGTTGGAGGGGAAGGATGGCCTGTGTCAGCAACTCAGGGCTGAGACAGGGCATGCTGCCTCATTCCCATGAAAGGGCCTGATCTAGAGATGGTTGAGCCAATGAGGCACCGCTGCTCCCTGTACCATCCCCCTCTCATTCCCCCTCCCTCCTCTCCTCGGTGTCTTCAGGGTCTTGCCCTTTCTCAATCCAGGGCCCCCCCAGCCACCACCCTGGGAGCCGATCCAGATGCCCCCTCTGGTGACCTCGACCAGCGTTCCCGGCAACCCTCTGGTGCTGTCACCTTTTCCCATGATGCCCGTGGTGGCAGGAGCTGCCGGTCCTGGCCCCCACAACCCTGGACCTTGCAAGGTCATCATCCAGGTCAGCCCTGAAGCAGGACTTGTGGAGTCATCCCAGAACCAGCCTGTCATCCTGACACAGGCTCCACTCAACTGGGGGACCGCAGAAGCTCCTACTGCGGTGGCAGGGCATCCTGCACCACTCTACTTGGTGTCCTCTGGGCCGGAGACAATTATGCCCACCCCAGCTACTACTGTCACCCGGGCTGGGACAGAAGACCATCGTCCACAGGCTCCACTGCCAGTGGCCCAGGTGGCCCCCATCATCCTCCCATCCAGCAGTGGGACACTGACCCAGTGGGTTTGTGGGGACAGTGGTCCGGCGGCCACCCGGAGCCAGTCACTGCCTAAAAGCTCCAGAAACCCCAACAGCGTCTACGAGAACTTCCGGCGCTGGCAGCGCTTCAAGGCCCTGGCCCGGAGGTACCTTCCTCAGACTCCGGACACTGAGGCCCTTTCCTGCTTCTTCATGTGAGTCCCTCGGGGGTCCTAGAGCTAATGGGAGTTTCCCAGGAGGGGACTGGGATGACACCCAGGGTAGGGTCCATGGGAGAGCTGGAGGAAGGATGAGGACCCTGTCCCCAGGGATAGCACATACAGGAATCACCCTCAGTGCATCATGGCCTGTAGGACCGGTGGCCACACTGCCCAGCACCTCAGCACAGCCCCACTCACTGGCTGTACTCAGGAATGCCATCCTGGGGTTCTGGCTCAAAGGCCCGTAGTGACCAGCCATGCCCTAAGCCTCACCTCAGTCCCCTCATCAGGGTTGGTCCCGACCTGTGGTCTGAAGGACAGACATTCCGTTCCCAAGACCAGACACAGCACAGATGTGACAGAATTCAGACAGGCCATGACTGCTCGGCCTTGGCGTCTCATGACGTATCCCCAGAGCTAAGAGTGGATGCCAGCAGGGCCACTGGACTGGGGTATAGGAGGCAGAGTCCACTCTGGGAGGGGAGATCAGGCCGATATCGGGGGTCAAGGCACGGGTGTGGGGCGGCGGGGGCTCCCGGCAGACGCAGAGCCTGACCGAGCCTGTTCTTGCAGCCCGGTGCTGCGCACCCTGGCCCGCCTGAAGCCCACCATGAGCCTGGAGGAAGGCCTGCACCGGGCCCTGCAGGAATGGCAGGGCAAGAGCAACTATGACCGCATGATCTACTACGACATGGCGGCCAAGTGAGTCAGGCCTGGGCAGAGAGTGGGGGTCAGGGTGGCTACAGGCCCGAGCTTCAGGGGCTGGTCCCAGAGGGCCGAGGGGCAGGGAGGGCCAGGCAGCCCCAGGAGACCCTTCCCCTGCAGAAACTTGTTCCTCCCGGAGCCGGGACACTTTTCCCAAGCCCACTCTGGGGCTCCTGACCACAGTCTGAGGGTCACAGTCCCTGACCTGCTGTGACCCTCCAGGGCCAATGTGGGGGATCGCTGGGGGTGCTGGGGTCCGTGTCCACCCCATTCTCTACCCTCCTGGGGACTGGGCCATGAGCATCCCCTGTCCTTTATTCATCCTGCTCAGTCCCGTTCAACCCGACTCATCACGGCCTGTGTTCCCCACACCAGGTTCATGGAGTTCGAGGCCGAGGAGGAGATGGAGGTGCAGAAACTGCAGTGGATGAACGGAGCGCAGGGCCTGCCACTCCCCGCCCCACCCAGGCCTGGGCCTCAGGGGGCTCCAGGCCCACCGCCAGACCAGCAGACAGGTACGGACCCTGCTCCTAGCTAAGGGCCACAGGACCTGGGAAGGCCCTCGTGGGTCTTGACCTGACAGGGAGCCTTCACTCTCCCGATGACCCCCAGACCTGTGGTCAGCGGCTTACTGTCCACTGGTTTCTCCCTCTCCTAGCAAACCCCACGCTGCCTGAGGCGTCAGACTCACCTTTGAAGTGGGGTCGGAGACCCTGGGGACACAGTTGGTCCCTCCTCCCGTTGAGGGCCACCTCATCCCTCACACAGTCACTGGATTCTAGGGCCCTGATCCAGCCTACAGGGACCTGTCCCCAACTCTGTGCTCAGGGCTGTGTGTCTGAGGACATGGACGTGGGGTCCCCTCACATCCCTCTCTTCTTCCTTCCTCCTCAGCCTGTGTCCCCAAGAAGGCCAGACCCCAGGCCCGGGCAGCCCGCCCCAAGACACACAAATCTCAGCAGCCCCCCGAGACCAAGGCCCCTGAGGAGATCCCTCCTGAGGCCGTGCAGGAGTACATGGACATCATGGACGAGCTGCTAAAGGCCCCCGACTCAGTCTGCAGGGCACCCCTCGGCCAACGGGCAGTGGACAGGGAGGAGCAGCAGGAGGAGGCTGGGACCTGCCCTGACCCGGGGCTCCTGAGCTATGTGTACGAGCTGTGCTCCCAGGAGGCCTTCGTCACCAAGGTGGGCCTGGGGTCTGGCCTTCTTGGGGACACAGGCTGAGGAGGAAGGAAGAAGAGAGGGATGTGAGGTGACCCCGCGTCCATGCTGCTGTGGGGTCGGGAGGGTGCAGGGCTGCTTCTGTCCAGGGCTTGGCAGTGATGTGCGGTCTCTGCTTTGAGCTCTGTGTGTAAATGCACACCTGTGTTTAGATATTTCTGCTTGTGTTTGTGCGCATGTGTGCACGTGTGTCTCTCTGTGTACAAGCATTGGCTCTTTCTGTGCATTTTTGGGTTTGGTCAATGTGTGAACATCTCTGTATCTACCTCTGTGTGTACTGTGTGGGCTCTGTGCAGACACGTGCAGATACATGTACATGTACCTAGAGGTGGAAGAGTGTGTGTCTTTGTGTCAGGTGTTTGCATGAATCCATGTGTGTTTACATGTGCTTCTCTGTGAGAGTAGGTGAATAGTCGGTGTGCCTTTGTGGGTGAGGGTGTGTTTGCATCTGTGTGTGTGTATGTGTGTGTGTGTGTGTGTGTGAGTTCTCCCGGTGTGGGTCTGTGTTTGACTTTGTGCAGCTGTTCAAGCCCCTGCACTGTACTGGGGACAGGTGTGTCTGCTTCCTCATTCCCTCCTGTCCTCTACGAGGACCCTCACCCCTGCTTCCCTCTCCCAGGCTGAGGCGATCCTTCATCCCAGCTTCCTGGAGTACCTGGTCTCCCCAGAGTCCCAGCTGGATTTCCCGGCCCTGGCTGAGGAGCTGGAGGAGGAGGAAGGACTCACCCCCGCACAGGTGAGGCAGATGGGTCTCTGAGGTCCATGTGGGGCCCAGGGGAGTAATGCGAGGGATTCCTGTAAGTTAGTGGGCAGCAAATCAGGACAAACAGGAGGCATATTTCACATGATTCCTGGGAAAGAGACCCTCCAGGGGACACAGTGGACAGGGCCCAGGGCACTCAGAGCAGCAGGTGGGTCGTGAGTCAGGAGGGGCGCCCTAGCGCCCTGGGTCTTGGTCACTTGGTGGCCTCCCTGCCCATGTCATGACCAGGCGCCTCCCTCTGAGTCCTCAGGTGAGAGGAGGACGTGAATATGGGGTGAGGACCCTTAGTGGGACAGAGATCTGGTTTTTCTGTTTCGGGAGGAATCAGGGTCACTCTCTGTCCCACCCTGCACCCCCACATGCCCACAATGTTCCTTCTCTCCCCAGCTTGTGGAAAAGCGTCTGCAGACCCCGCAGGACAAGGAGGTCATGAAGGCTCGTCCCCAACACCAGGTGTCCCTAAAGGACTCGAGTCCAGCTGAGAGTGCAGCAGGCTACTGCACCCCAACACCTACCTGGGGCCACAGGCCAGGGGCCAGCGCTGAATCTGAGACTGACTCTGGACACGCCTCACGGCCTGGGCGGGCCGAGGCCACTGGGATGGCACCTGGAGCCTCTGTCCTCTCTCTGGGGAGCCTGGAGTCTCCACCACTGCAGGCAGGACCGGCCCCCTGTCCCAGCCTCACTGCACCCGCTCTGGACAGCAGGGCTCCCCGCATGCTGGGAGACGCCCTTCCTAGCCAGGGGTCGCCTGGGCCAGCAGAGGGCTCTAGTAAGGAGGAAGAGGACCTGACCAGCCTGTCCTTCCTCCTAACCTCTCACTACAGCCTGCTGCCCTGGGGCTTACCCAGGAGCCCTGGCCCTGACACAGGCCCCGACACTGGCCCCCACCTGCCTGGAGGTCAGGGGACTCCCGAGCTCCCATCCACTCGCACAAGGGCCTTCAAGTCTAAGGCCCCTACCAGGAAGCATCCTCTGTGTGGGGGCCCAAGGCGGCGCACTGCTAAGAAGACCCCCTGTCCCAGGGGGCACCCCACGGTGTCTACTGGCTCAGCCTTGACTGTGGAGCTGGAGGGCCCCTCCCTGCCCCCCAAGAGAAAGTGCCAGCCTGCCATGGCCCAGAGGAGGGGGAAGGGGCACGAGAGACAGTAGGATATCGGGGGGCTCCTCCTGACCACCTCCCAGGGTCTGGCTGCACCCAGAAGCCTTGTACTCCCCATGATCTTCAGCTAAGCCTGCTCTGGAATGGGGGGGGGCTGTACCTAGAATGGGGGGTTTGACTGGAGCAGCCTCTTTGTGTCATTGTGTAAATAGTGAATAAAGTTCAGTTCATTGGAAACATCTCAGTGTCTGTCCTCTCACTTGTGCTCCTTGGTCGGCCTGAGAGCACAAATGGTGAGGGGAATCACAGGGGAGGGGGGAACCCTGAGAGTACTGTGCTCCCTGGACAGTGGAGGAGTCCTTCCCATCTGGAGGAAGATGTGCTCAGTCACCTGCAGGCCCACACCATCCTGAGGGCATAGACAAGGCTCACATCTTGCTGCATTAGCCTGGACCAAATAAAAAATTAAAGCTCATTGGGTATTTGCATATCATATTCTTCACTCACATAAAATGTACCATGCTTTGATTTGACATCATTGAATTTAAATGTTTTTGTAACCAGACAGATTTGAACATTTGCCATCACTCTTTAAAAAATAAGTGGGAGGGATAGTACAGCAGATATGTTGCCTGCCTTGCCCATAGCCAATCCATGCACTCGATTCCCAGCACCCCATATAGCCCCCACACTGTGATGAATGAGTCTGTTCAGAGATCCAGGAGTAAGATGTGAGTATACCAGGTGTACCCCCAGAACCAAATAATCATATAATAATAATAAAGGGGGCCGATTTAATGTACTGATTTCATTGTTAAGTGTTTTACCATTTAAATATGGTCCTGGTACCTGTAGAGAAGGTGTTTGAGAACCATTCTTCATTTTCAGTGACAAGATATTTGAAACTCAGGACCTTAGAGATTCTCAGGGAATTAGACTACTAGTTTTTAAAAACTAGTTACAACTCTAATTATTGAGAAACAGTAGGAAAACAACTCTTCAGTGTTAAACATTTTAATTCTCTGCACTTATCACTATTAACGGGCTGGAGCAATAGCACAGTGGGTAAGGCGTTTACCTTGTAGGCGGCCAACATGGCTGTCCCCTGTAAGGCTATGTTGGTTGCTGGGCCTGCAGGAGGACAGGACACCCCCCTGAAAGTGGTTCTGGGCTGGGCGTGTGTCTGGCAGCACATGGCCTTTGCGCCCCTCAGTATGCATGTTCAGACATTGGGCTGGTTTCAGGGTCTCTCTTGGGGTTGGTGGGGGGTCTTCCCAAGGAAAGCTCAGGAGGTCTGGGGGCACCATGAGGGATTCTTTATATTTCTAAAACATTCGGTACCATGATTTCTAATGCTACTGCGATAGAGTGTGATGGACAGAGTGTCTCTCCACCACACCAGCACCAGTGTGCCCACCGCCCTTTGCTACAGTGATGGAGGTCCATGAACACAGTGTCCTACATACCAGCACCAGAGCACCCACTGCCCACTACCCACTGCTACAGTAATAGGGGACCATGGACACAGTGTCCTACACACCAGCAAAAAAGTGCCTGTCTGTCTGTCTGTCTGTCTGTCTGTCTCCCCCCCACCCCCTCTCACTTCCCTTTTAGGCAGTGTGGTTTGCAATACTGTTACTGAAAGGGTATCATGAGTATCCCTTTACCTCCTTTCAGCACTGCCCACTGCTACAGTGGTAGGGGTCCATGGACACAGTGTCCCTTCACCACACCAGCACCAGAGTGCCCACTGCCCTCCCCAGCCATGGCTCCAGTCCCCTCTCCCCCAGACCATCTTCCCCTGCCACCCAGGAAACTCCATTCTCTAAACTCTTCCTTAGTTTTTACTGTCTCTGGCATTTATTGTTTCCTTATTACAACTCTTTATATGCCACATCTGAGGGATAGATCTATGCACACCTATGTAAACTTCATCACTGGCATTTCTTGGCCAATTCAATGGCAATTCAGTGCCAGGGTGCCTCCAGGGCTGCAGCCAATGATGCATGCTGAACATGCCCCCAAACAGCTCTAAGAGCTCCCAGACCCACGGAGGTCAGTTCTTTCAAAGGGGTGATTAACAGGAAAGAGATCACTGACATATACCCAAACCCAACAGGACTGGTGTCCTGATGAGAAGAGACACGGACTCACACAGAGGCACCCACACATGAAGTGGAGAGGCCTCGGGTGCGATCAGCCCTGCTGCCCCTGCATCTCAGACCTCCAGGTTCCAGAGATGTTTCCATCATTTGCGTTATGGGCCTGTCCTATTGTTTCTGAGAGACGGCAGAGATTGATCATCATCTGGGAAGATATGCTCGCCTTCGACACAGAGGAGAGTCTACCAACGTGGACACAGACAACTCTTTCAGCAGGTGCCCAGTGGCCTCAGTGGCCTGCCCTCCTGCCAGAACTCTTTCCTTGACCAGGGGTTCAGATGACCAGTCCACAGGAAGGGACATGCACCAATTTCAGAGCAAGGTGAGCCTTTATTTGGTTTTGCTTTGCTTTTCCAGGCTTGGGTTTGGGATCACAACAGATGGACAGAACCACAGAGATGGTGGCAAGTGTGAGGCTCCAGTAAGAATGCTGAGGACTGGGGCAAAGAGCAGGGACAGAATGTTCTTCGGTCACTGCAGGTCCTGCCACAGGGCCTTAAGCACTAAAAGCAACAGGAGCCAGAGCTGTAGAGGTCTGAGGGTTAATATCGATGAGCTGGAAACTGGCTAGGATTCATATAGAAATGGGACTTCAGGAGGAGCAGACAAGGAAACAGGAAGAGGCACAAGTCTCTGGATCTGGACGATCCACTTGATGAAATGGGCAACACTGGTGAAGACACTGAGCGATATGGGACGCTGGCAGTCCAGGCCCCAACTGGCCAACCCCAGAAGAACCCAACTCTTGGAGAAGTCAAAGACCAGAAGGCCTCCAGAATCACCCTAAAAAAAGAGAGGGCAATCAGTGTGGACAATTGAGGAGGGGCTCAGAATTCTAATTATAAGGGCAGGTTATTGGGCACGGCTGTTTGGGTGTTTTCAGTGGTCCCTTGGGATGATCCTGATGCCAGTGTCCTGATATAGTTCTAGAGTCAGGGGTCGGAACTACCATCCTGCACTAGGAAGCTCCAAATTGATACTTGGGACAGTCACAGATGGAAATCTATCAATCATGCAGTTAAACTTGGCCACTGGCCGAGGACCTTGTACTAACTCAGCATCAGAAGTGATGGTTAATGAATAAGGGCCGAGAGACTAAGCCTGTGAGAGGCACTGGGTGTCTGAAGCCACTATATACCTTTTCAGAAAGCTGATTACAGCAGTATGCACCTCCTAGAATCCTTCCTCTCAGTCACTTCAGCCTCTGGGTTTCTCAAAAATGTTCAGACTCTTTGGAAAATGCTCCTACCTAGGTGTGGTGGAGAAACTCTATAATGCTGGGGCCTGAGGGGTGGAGGGCTCATCACCACAAAGCATCCTGAAATAATCTCAGGGAAACCAGTGTGGGCAGAACCCCTCTTACTGCATCAAAGGGAAAGGCTCATCTAGGCAGGGGAGTTGGGGAGCAGGAACTATAGCTCTGAGGCTCCTCTAACCACACTGCAGACAAATGCTCCCTGAGTACCTTTGTGTGATTCCTAGTACTGGAGCTTTAAGGCACACAGGCACATACAGAGAAGACCAGAAACCTCTCTCAGATTGACACGTGCAATCAAATCTCATAAGAGATGGGAGCTGTCTAGAAGGGAGGGGCGTTGCTCATGGCTGGCGGCAGAAGGCTTTGCTGAGCTGGGATTCCAAGCAAGAAACTGAAAATGACCTTGTGATCCTGGAGTCAAGGGAGCAGAGGGTACAAAGAGGAGGGTCCAGTGTGGTAGGAAAAGCAGAAGCAATGTGGGGAGCAAGGAAGGCAGTTAGGGATTATACTGGTCAGCCAACCATGGAGAAGTAGATCTGCAGCCGGGCGGGTCTTGAAGTACTATGAAGAAAAGACAGCACTGACTGAGAATTCAACAGAGGGGCTACAAGAGAATATCAGACATCATAGATGGGGGAAGAGTTCCAAAGACCTGAGATTTGGGAGAATATTTACAGAAAGGCACTATGAGATCTGTGGGTTCTAACCATTCTCACCAGGGGAAGATAAAATCAGGTCCTGGGGTCTTGTGATCCAGCTGTTAGCAGGGAGGGAGCAGGAGAAGAGCAGAGAAGGCCAGTGGCCAATCCTATGACCAGGAAACAGGGCCAACAGCCCTCCCTTATATTGGCGAGAAGAGTTGGGGACTCTTGCGGCCTGGGCAAGATCACAGCTGCCAAGGAAACAGACCACAGAGTGATGGGGGCAGAATGGAGACACAACTGGGTGTGGGGATCGAAGAAACAAAGGGTGAGGAGGAGGAGGAGACTCGGAAAAGGTAGAGCGAGGGATGGTGGCAGCAGATCAGAAGCTAATGGTATCTTCAAACATGTCACGCCACTGGCCAAGCAAGTGAAAACAGAGATAGACAAATGGGACGATCTTAAACTAAGAAGCTTCTTCACCTCAAAAGAAACAGTGACCAAAATACAAAGACAGTCTACAGAATGGGAAAGAATATTCGCCGAACACACATCTGACAAGTGGTTGATATCAAGGATATACAAAATACTGGTTGAACTCCACAAGAAGAAAACATCCAACCCCATCAAAAATGGGGCAATGAAAGGAACAAAAACTTTCTCAAAGAAAAAAACTGAATTGCTAAAAGGCACATGAGAAAATGCTCTACACCATTAATCATCAGGGAGATGCAGATCAAAACAACAATGAGATATCATTTCACACTACAGAGATGGGCCCACATCCAAAAGAACAAAAGCAACCGGTGCTGGTGCAGATGTGGTGAGAAAGGAACTCTCCTTCACTGCTGGTTGGAATGCCGACTGGTTCAACCCTTTTGGAAAACAGTATGGATGATTCTCAAAAAATTAGAAATTGAGCTCCCATTTGACCCAGCTGTACCATTCCTGGGAATATGTCCCAGAGAGGCAAAAACGTATAGTCGAAGTGACATCTGCACTTGTTTGTTCATTGCAGCACGCTTTACAATAGCCAGAATCTGAAAAAAACCTGAGTGCCCGAGAACAGATGACTGGTTGAAGAATCTTTGGTACATTTAGACAATGGAGTACGATGTAGCTGTTGGAAAAGATGAATCATGAAATTTACATACAAGTGGTAATACATGAAAAGTATCATTTTAAGCAAAATGAGTCAGAAAGAGAGGGATAGACACAGAAAGATTGCATTCATCTGGGAAACATAAAGTAACAAAATAGGAGACTAACACCCAAGAGTAGCCGAGATTAGTACCAGGAATTTTGCTCCATGACTTGGAGGCCAGCCGCACGTGCTAGGGGAAAAGAAAGCTCAGATAGAGAAGGGAGCACCAAATAAAGGGTGTTAAGAGGATCCTCCCAGGATAGGAGAAGCATGCTGAAAGTAGACTATAGACCAAACACAATTGCCACTCAATGCCTCTCTGGCAAACCACAGCACCCAAAAGGAGAGAGAGAACAAAAGGGAATGCCCTGCTACAGAGGCAGGGTGGGATGGGGGGGGGATGGGAGGGATACTGGGACCCGTGGTGGTGGAAAATGGACACTGGTGGAGGGATGGGTTCTTGATCATTGTATAACTGAAACCAAGCACAAAAATTTGTAAGTCTATAACTGTACTTTAAGGTGATTCACTAATAAAATAAATAAATAAATAAATAAATAAATAAAGGCACTTCGGGGCTGGAAGGCATTTGTCTTTCACGCGGCTGACCCACATTCGATTCCCAGCATCCCATATGGTTCACCGAGCATCGCCAGGAATAATTCCTGAATGCAGAGCCAGGAGCAACCCCCTGAGCATTGCTGGGTGTGACCCAAAAAGAAAAAGAAAGTAAGAAAGAAAGAAAAAAAGACAGACAGACGAAAGAAAGAAAGAAAGAAAGAAAGAAAGAAAGAAAGAAAGAAGGGAAAATTCAAAATAATGGTGGTGGGAAGGTCTATGGAGGTGGGATTGGTGTTGGAATATTTAATGTAATAAATTATTGTGAACAACTTTATAAAAATAAAAAAATTTTAAAAGGCAAATAAATATTTCCTTTTCCCTAATCAGTATGCCATCAACATTTCACTAAAGTATAAACATACTTCTCTGAACAAGTTCATGTTTATACTCAATATTTATATTTCTCATTTAACTAAAAACCTCCACAAAGTTTTGCCCTGTATTCACCCTATATCTCCATTCACCTAACAAATCCAAGAGGCAGATAGGAGACACAGGTTAGGAGAAGAACAAAACTTAGGTGATGGAGCTGAGATAATTTCAGGCCATGATCGTTCTTCCCCGAGGTTCTTCAAGAGCTTTTTTCTTACTTTTACGTGTTCCTTCTGGAGGGATAGCACAGTGGTAGGGCGTTTGCCTTGCACGCAGCCAACGTGGCCGACGCGAGTTCGATTCCTCCGCCCCTCTCGGAGAGCCCGGCAAGCTACCGAGAGTATCTCATCTGCACGGCAGAGCCTGGCAAGCTCCCCGTGACGTATTTGATATGCCAAACACAGTAACAACAAAGTCTCCAATGGAGATGTTACTGGGCCCGCACGAGCAAATCTTGAACAACGGGAGGGCCTTTACTTTACTTTACGTGTTCCTTCCATGGCCATGGAAAAATCAAGGTATTTCACAGTAGAAAGAGAAACACTCAGACAAATTCATTTCACAAAGTCATGTCTGATATACATCAAATTGAAATATTAGAACCAAGGGGCTAGAAGATAACAGAAGTGAGAATACATGCTTCTCACAAAATCATTGCCAGTCATATCTCTGGCATGACATGTTCCCTGAGCGTCAAGATAAAGCCTTACAGTCCCTTGAGCACAACCAGATGTGGCCCAGAGGTTTCCCCAACATCAGTGGGGTGGCCTGCAGGACCTAACAACACTGCATCCTCAAACTGAGCAGGTAGGCCATACATCACTGAGAGGAGTTTTCAGGCCACCTAAACAGCATTTTTGAGAAACCCTAAATCAATTAATTTATCAGTTAAATTTGGACACCCAAACCAGAGAAACTTTGAGATCCAGATTCCTGACTCCAAAAACCAAAGGACCCCAGAATTTCAGTGTCTTCAACTTGAGTAACTTTGAAGCTTTCAGAAGAACACATTTTTCACAAGAGGAAGTAGAAGAGTCCAGCTCTCTGGAAATGAGGCACAGAGGGACAAGGTCCACTGGCCTCCATGCTAATTAGAGATTTTGATGAGCTAGAATCCCATTCCCCATCTCCCACCCACACCCACACCATAGCCACTCACTGTTCTCGGTGAGCTTTCCCCAGCCAGTTATCCAACAAGATGTGCCAAGGGGCAGCTCCATGCCAGGGGTT